CCCCCTCCAAGCCAAACCCCCCCCGAAATTTTGGTCTAGATACGGCCCTGGCATCGGTTACAACATTCTTTTTGGGGGGTTTGTTTTTGGTGTTATTCGTGTTAGTTATGGACGATCCGCACTATTTTTGTTAGAAAATGTCATTGTAAGTGTTCCTCTTCTCAATTCTGTATAGAAAATGTTAAAGTTTTGATGTAGGTACCTAAAAGGTACCAGACCCTATCTTGCATTCCCGTTTAAAAAATAAATATATTCCACGCGTATTTACTAGCCAGCAGGGTTCGGAAAACTACATGTTACTTTTAAAAACTACATAATGTAGTTTATGTAGAGGGCGTAGTTTATCTAACCTATGCATGTAACTTTCAAATGTCAAAGGTTTGAGGTGAGGTTATAATAAGTTGAAGTTTTAAAAACACATAATGTATTTAAGAAAACAGAAGAAATATGGCTTTAAATATAATATTTACATCATATTATCTCTATTACACCTCATACCAAGGAAAATTATTCATAATATCAATACATAGTTTATTAATGTAGTTTTCATGTAGTTAATGAACGGAAAAAGACGTAGTTTTTGAAGAAAAACTACACGTAGTTAATCAGGTAATTTACGTCTTAGTTAACTACTTCCGAACCCTGCTAGCCAGAAACAAAAACCTATTTAATTTCACGATAATATTCAAAACAGACTCGTTTTCGTGGGCTCCCTTTCGGCGTCCCACCTCGAACTACAAATCCACAAAACACGTACAAACCGGTGGCACGAGAAGGGGGTATAGAAGCTAGGGAGCTGCACTCCACTTTTGCTCCTTTGCTTCACGCATGCATTGAAATGCCAGAACGAAGTAATACAGTTCGTCTGCTGGATCTGTGTCTATGAAAGGAATGCGGACAAAAAACATTTAAATAAACAGCAATATATTTTATACGCCGACTTGACGAGTACGTCACCGCAAATCGCTCCGCCCACTCATTTTATTGGCTACTTGCAAATTTGTCGAATTTTTATTGATGGGACGCGTCGTCTAATTTTTTACGAAAAACATCGAGAGAATATCGTTTCCCCTCTCACGGATACCCCGTAGCCACAGAACGGACAGACGTACTATACTTCAATATAGTTCTGTTACGAAAGCAGCGTGTAGCTCCGTGGTTGAAGCTGCCGCTTTGTGAGCAACGGGACAGTGGATTGAACCTCGGTAGACATACAGTCCGTTTGCTGGATCTGTGTCTATGAAAGGAATGCGGACAAAAAACATTTAAATAAATAGCAATATATTTTATACGTCGACTTGACGAGTACGTCACCGCAAATCGCTCCGCCCACTCATTTTATTGGCTACTTGCAAATATGTCGAATTTTTATTGATGGGACGCGTCGTCTATTTTTTTACGAAAAACATCGAGAAAATATCGTTTCCCCTCTCACGGATACCCCGTAGCTACAGAACGGACAGGCGTACTGTATAACTTTTTTATTTTTTTTACAGCTGTTTTTATTTTTTAAAACTGTTTTTATTTTTTTATTTATTTAGAGTTGTTGGTAACAGCGATCAAAATACGCCGTAGGCCGCCGTTGCGTTGGTTAGTCTTTGGCACAAAACACATACACAAGGAGAAGTGCGAGCGCCTTGCTAAATATTGGAAAGTGAAATTGACGTTTAAATTTGACACTGTTGACAAGTCTACTGCTACTAGCGCCCCCAATATCGCTTGTAGGAACTACGGACTAGATTGTCACGCATGGCGGGAAGTTTAAAAAAATAAAAAATTTTAATTCTTCATTTATTTTTAATTATGACATAGATAAAAACACAAAAAATACACCATTTTTTAAAAATATGTTTAATATCAATATCAAATATACAACAGAAATTAATTTCACCACAATAAATTAATAAAATTAAAAAATAATGTTACAAGTAGATCAAGAGACAAAATTAATTATAACAAAACTGAAAAAAATGGCGTCATAGATGGCTTAGAAATGACGATATATATCATAATTTTGAAAGTAAAATTATATAGGAAATGTCATCGATCATCATTTTGAAGCCAACTGGACGATTATTTCAAACATACAAGCTGAGTTCGTTCATAGTGCTCTGAGAAATCTAGATAAACAAAGAATAATAAATTAAAAGTATTCCAGGGAAAAAGAGAGGAAAAACCTGTATCGTCTCTGATATCTGTCAGGGTTTTGTTGAAAGTGTCATCTTTTTGCTCGAAGTTTTCAGGTCGATTAAAAAGATGACATTTACAACAATACTTTGCCGTAACTTTCACAAATATCAGAGAGAGAGTACAGGTATTGCCTCTCTTTTCCTCTGGGATGCTTTATATCTGTTCTTCTTTGTTTACCTATATTTCTAAGAGCATAATGCCAAACACGACTACAGTATATAATAATTTCAATATCCTAAGTGGAAAGAAAAAAGATCACCTTTCTGTTTTGTACTATGGTCCCTTTCTTCCGATGGCTCATCTCGTTGATATTTAGGAAGGTATCCATAAAATATATATTTTATTATCGGTCCTGGGATGAAAAAATATAAAATTCAATTTCATTTGATGATCCTTTTCTGTCACCTAAATCAGGAGAATGACAATGAGCATGTTAAGATGAAAAAAAACTTATTTATCAACACTTACCTACACGTTAGTCCAAGGAGTTTTATCAAAAACCTATATTTGCCTAAATAATTTATGTATTCAATTTACAAAGCAAACTGCAGCGTGTAAACAAAAGAAATAAAATGGCGACAAGTCAACTCAACGACCCGACAAGGAGAAAAGTGGTGTTCGAATAACAATTTATGGGTTGCAAAAATTGTTTTGTCTCCTTTCAACGCACACTTTAGAAAGAAAAAGAGCTGAACAGTTATACTGAAAGAATGTCAAGGTTTTATCTGTCACTCTTGTCAATAATTTATCGGTAAAGAAGATTCCTAGAAAATCGCTTGTAGTCAAGTTTTCAACCATTTCCAGTTCTCCCATAAGAAGTGTCATCCACCTGGTCTTTGGTGTGAGTTTTTTTGTATTTATAGATGGCACATTGCACGCGAAATACCGGATCGATTTTGTATAACTCACGCGTATGCGCGGAAGCAAAGGAGCAAGCAAGGTCGCCTTAGGGGGGGGGGGCAAGAGGGAACATTTGCCCCCCCCCTGGATCACTGAAACAGTAAAAATAAAACCTATCTTCTTACATCCATCTGTAAAAAAATAATCATTATTATGAAATTTTTAGGTGTTACCTTTAAAATAATAAAGAAAAATGTTTCAATTTTTTATTCATTTTTACTTTGGCCCCCCTAAATTTCATTCTTCCGGCGCCCATGGGAGCAAGAGTGGAGTGCGGCTCCCTAGCTTCTAGTCAATTCTATACACATTCTATAGCTTTGTTCGGGTTCTTGTTATTACCGATTCTGAACCGTCCTAGAAATCTGCAGCGCATGCACAAATGAAATAATGTCTTCATATTTCCTTCTGCGCATACGCATCACAGTTCTAAGATGGCTCAGAATCGGTAATAAGAGAAACCCGAAGTAAGGTTTTATTGGCTTTCGAGCTTTCGAGCTTAAAGTAGATAATTACTTGTTTTCATTTGGCCTGAAAGGTTACCAGATAAATCTCAAAATCAACAGTTAAAGAGGGAGAAACAAAATAAGAACTTTTTAAAGGACAACCTCAAAAATTTTACGTCTCATCAAATCATTTACAGAAAAATATGAAAAATTATTAAAAAAGGAATGTTTTTATTTAGGTATCTACAGTGTGTCAACAAACAGCAAACAAAACGAACGACAAATTATACAGGCCTTGGAGTAGTTGGGGTTTTAAGTTATGTAAACAAAGAGAATTTTATGACGGAGAATTCCTAGGATAATCATCCGATTATTGGAATTCTTGAGGATCAATATCCGATTATTACCTACACTAGTTAGAAGCCTTTAACATTTCCACTACTTTATGCTTTCAATCTTTGTTTCCTTTGGATTTTTACTTTGAGTTTAAATTTTAATTTCTTTTTCTTTGCGTAATATTGTAAAAATTTTGTCTTAAAAGTCTTTCCTATAACCGCGAATCTCTGCAAAAACTGATTTACTTGCAGATCCTTCAGCTACAATATACTCTGCTGTTTTCGATATCGGGGGACAGTGGCGGATACAAATGGGAGCCCATGGGGCCCATCCCCCCTAATATCTATAAATTGAGTTAAATATTAGGCTTTTGGGTTAAAAATGGCGCCCTAAATACAAATTCTACATTACTTTTTATTTGCCCCCCCCCCCTAAAATAAATTCCTGTATCCGCTCCTGTTCAGGAGATTTTTCGCGTAATGTAAATTCTTAAAATAACCATTTGGACAATCTGATCACAATATTTAATAATTTAAATCTTTAAAAAATAATTTTATTTGATTCAAAAATACTAACAGTATATTTATGCTAAAAATACAAGATAATCCATAAAATGCTGGATAATTAATACAAATTCGAAATTCGTCTATTTTTATTAAGACTTTGATTTCCTTTGTGTAATGTTGTCAAACTTAAGGTGTACGCGCACTGAATCGGTACCAGTCCGGCGAGAAACGGCGAAGGCGGTGACTCGACTATCGTAGATAGGTAGAGGTAGGAATCTGGCCTCTACAGGCCGAAATGTTTTAGTGGACGCCGGCGCCGTCTATATGTACGATGGTCGCAGTCGCTGTTGCTGGTCGGTCCGATCCGATGCAGTGCGCGCGGAGCCTTATCCTCTAGATATCTTCCGTAAAACTGCAAAACATCTGATGTACTAGCAGATCCTCGAGCTTCGATACCTATCACTTGCAGTCTTCGACAACGAGAGACATTCGTCTTTATTCGACTGATATCTGCATTCCGATAAGCAAATTGTGCCAAAATAGTTAACTAATTTTAGTTGTTTAAACATTTTATTTAATTCTAAACATTAACAATATATACCAATAAAATAATAAACTCATTAAATCAAAAAATAACAATTTTAATTCAAAAAGTGCTATTTAAACGTACTTAAGACATAAAAATAAATATAATTCCTTTTTATAAAAGTGAAGTAAAACTAAATTATTAATAAAACACATTTAAGATCTTTGCGAGGAACTGGCTACTGATATTGTACAATTCCCAATTGTACTCACAGAATTCGTTTCTAGCAATCCAATTTTTTTAAAAAAATTTCCAGGGTTTTGAGATCCACCGTCAGACGTATGATTTTGACCATCGTTCGAATCGCTCTGATCAAGGTTTATTTCTACAAAGGGTTCCATAACACCGGCTTCCATTGTAAGATTAGAAGTGTCCTCGATCTGTGAGGATTTATGTTGATTAAGTATAATCAATAAGAATTCTGATATTGATATCTTACTTGTTCATTATTTGGTTCACAAAGAGATTTAGTCAGGTACTCCAAGTCTCCGAAAGGCATATTAGTGATATCGTAGTTTTCTGGGGCTGCTATTATTTTGGGCACGGGTGTAGTAACTGGAGTAGCTGGAGGTGAACCTTAAAAACGTAGAAGTGTTTAAAGATTTCAAGATATACAATAAATTATTTTTAAGAACTATAAACGATCTATTTATAAAATAGGTTTGAATATTAGTAATATTACGTAGAATTTAAAAATGTAATAACCATTGTACTTAAAAAACAAAAATCTGCATTATTATTGAAAAAAAAACAATTCTGGCAACACCGCAGACACGATTTTTGAATCTGCGATTGTCATTATACTTTATACCCAATGTCCAAACTTTCAAAAACAGCATTACCCGTCTTTTATATATTTAGCCGGGTCTAGGCTTTTGACTAACCCCTTTGGTTGAAGAAATAAGAAGATGCGCAACCTTATGGGCCATTTCGTGGCACAAAACCTGTCCTAGATGTAGCTGACGTTACTGTCAGCCTGTCCGAGATTTAAGCCCCGTTCTCAGAACATCGGTATTGTCGAGCAACACTTCAAAGGAACCAATGAGATCTGCACAAAATTCAAAATTGACAGCTGTTTGAATTTTGTACCGATTCTCATTGGTTCATTTGACGTGTCGCTGGCGACAATCATAGTTCTGAGAACGGGTCTTTAGTTTAGCTCTGCGCTGAGAGTCGTTTACAGCGCAGCGGATAAAGAATACTGTACCGTAAAGGTACGCGCACACTGACCCGTACTGAACGAGCCGCACGCACCGCATTATTCGCTCTTTTGCTTCTTTTTGCCACTACTACATCTGTATTTGCCAATAGAATTTCTCATCAGTCGCTTCCTGACGCCTGTCTGATGTGATAAGCGTGTTTTTTAATATTTCTCGAAAATGAATGACAACGAACAAAAAATAATTATGAGCTCCTTGCTAATAGAAGAAAAATAAATCACGAGAAAGAATCGAAAGTTATGGGTTCACAATATTTGAAAAGATTTTACCTTTAGGAGGGGAATTCCAAATATTATTTCCATATTTAATTAAGGACGAACTAAAAATTTTTCAATATGTGAAAATGAGCCATGAAAAATTTGCGAACTTTCTTAACATATTGAATTTCTAATCTCCTCTTCGGCTACCCGCGTAGAGTGGAAGGAATTGCATGTGACGTCAGCAGCACTAGCCGCACTGACCAAAAATCATTCTGGCCCAACAATGCTGGCCGCATTTTAGTCGATGCGATTCGTGCGACTCTGGCTAGTGTGCGTACCTTCATTGAGAGTAACACAAACAATATTTTCCTTCGGTCGATGCGGCGCGTGCGGCTCTGGTTAGTGTGCGCGTACATTCTGCTTTCAGTCGACAGACTGAGTGGTTGCCGGAGAAAGTATTGCCAGAATTACTGATTAATCCGGAGATTTACGGATATCATTAAACAATTTAACATAATATTATATGATGAAACAGAAGAACGGTGTCAGAGTTGGCTAGGAAATGAAGATCGCTTGCGATTTCTTATGTAAAATATTATGGTAAATATCTATACCTATGTGGCGAATTCATCTCTCCAAAAATCCTATATGGGTATTTCGCCACTGCACTGCAAGAAAATCTACAAAATAAAATAGTTATTTTTCTAAGAAGTTACTAACTTCTGACAAGTAGTGTCCGTTTGGGTTTAAGGCAGAAGTGTAAACAAAAAATAACTATTTTATTTTGTAGATTTTCTTGCAGTGCAGTGGCGAAATACCTATATAGGGTGTCCCAGGCTGAGCGTGCATTAGAAGTTTCTAGAGAACTAAAATATCTAGATAGGAGATTTTTTGCACATTACTGTTTCACAACGAGATCTACCGATTAAAAATATTTTCATTATGGCGGCACTTCCCGAAATACCGGAAGTTGACAGCAACTTTCTTATTTTAAATGGGTATCCCCAATTTTTATTAGACACTTAAATTTTCTGTAAAATTTTATGAGTTTTGATATTAACACTGTATACTTGACATTAACCGTTTTTGAGAAAAAAAATATTGAAAATTTTTGGACGAAAAAAACTGCCTGTCAAAAAAAATGTGTAGTTCTTCAAATTTAGTGATTACAACAACCACTGTGACATAAAGAGAAGACATGTGGCTATCTATTTGGGGGCACCCATTTAAAATAAGAAAGTTGCTGTCAACTTCCGGTATTTCCGGAAGTGCCGCCATATTGGAAATATTTTTAATCGATAGATCTCGTTGTGAAACAATGATGTGCAAGAAATCTCCGATCTAGATGTTGTAGTTCTTTAGAAACTTCTAATGGACGCTCAACCTGGGACACCATGTATAGGATTTTTTGGAGAGATTATGGTAAATGTCTAATCGTCATTTCCAAGCCAACTAAATGACTTTTTTCGATCGTACAACATATTCAGTACCTATAAAAGAATTTGTATTTTTGTTGTTTATTCTATGTTAAACACGAATAAATTTTCAATACATAAACGCGGATTTTTCATTCAAAGATATTTTCGTCAAACGTATTATAGATATTACATTTTAATATGGCAACACTGACGCTTTCAGTTCCCAACCGTCTTCGACATGCCTTCCCTGGCCGAATTAGAGAAAATAAGTGTTTTATGCCTTGGCCGCAGAACGATTGGTGTCTCCATCGTACAGCACTACAGCACTTGAGACGGGAGAAATCAATCAGCCTTGTCACCAATTCGGCCATTATCTTCGTTAATAAACTTTTTAATAAATAACAAGCAAACTAGCATTTTTCTGTATATGTATGTACTAATGATTTGTATATCTTGGGTATCTTTGTTCCATAAACTACACCATAAAACAAAAAAAAGGTATCTACACCATAAAACCAATTTTTTTCGCAGTCATGCCATTTTTTTCTATTGGAAATAACATGGAAACAAGATATTTTTGTATAAAAGTTTTTTTTAAAAAATAGTTCATAGTCATGTAGGTACTAATTATTCTTATACTTACTCTTATTTTTTGAACGTGGTCTACCTCTTGGACGCTTGACGAGAGGTCTAGGAACTGCAAAAAATATAAAATAGAGAATGAGAATGAGAATATTACAAATTGGAAATAAAATCTATTTTATTGATTTAGTTTCAGGTATTTCTGTGGTATTTGTGGAAATAAGTAGTCACAGAGATTAGTTTTGTTAGTCTGTTGCACGGTTAAGAAAATAACAATTAAACATTTAGAATTATCGTTATATGCACTTATCAAAAGTTGTTAAGTGCCTATATAGGTTATATCGCCTATAGTTTTTCCAGTGAGTTCCGATAGACCACATCGAACAAATTACTACAGAAAAATCAATTTATTTTTGTTGTAGAACGTCATTGTCATATACTTTCTCGTCGTATGTGGTAATGTGCATTATCAACATTATAAATCTTGGGCAATATTGCAAACACAAAAACTATTTTGTATAAACAAACACTGATAGAGTACCCCTATAAGCGTACTTCTGAAATTCGGCACAGAATTAGCAGCATTTAGGGGCATTTTGGAAATTAAAAGACAGGGTTTACTATCTTACTATCTACTTATCATGACTTGGGCACAAAAATGAAATTTGCAGTGTGCTGGGGAGTGACACAACACTAATGTTGGGCATAAAAGAATAAGATAATACCATAATACGAAACGAGTGTATGCATTTTCAGATGGAATTGTGACAAGCTGTTGAAATATGGATTGTTAAGATGTTAGGAAGTTATATCAGAACTGTTTATATCATTACAAGTGGCACATTGTAGAATGTTTAGGAGTGGAGTTAATCACCGCGACCTTATAGATCTATTGTGTCTATTAAGTGGCACATTATTTACCTGGTGGATATTTTCTAGGTCTTCCTCGTCCTTTCTTCTGCGGAGCACCACTGCCTGATATTGACGTTTTTGATACATTAATACTAACTATGTGTTCTGCTTCTTTTTTTGGCCTTTTTGTTATGTTGTCTGTAGCAGATGGAGCACATACTGTAGGCTTACGAGGAGTAAGGTCCTCCCATCTTACTACCGGAGGATCCTCCATGATTTCATCAGACTGGGAGGTTTGGATTTTTACATGACCCAATGTCTAAAAAATTCGAATTCAAAACTTGCATTATTTATGTATGTAAAATATTAATATTTAACGTACAAATGGAAAGTTTCCACTCTGTAAATTTTCATTATCGGAACCATCATGAGCTCTCTTAATATGATTTTTGAGCTTATCATGTCTAGAAAAAGCCTTATCACATTGTGAACATGCATAGGGACGCTCACCAGTGTGGACCAGTTGATGTCTACTTAGATGTGATGCTCGTTTGAAGCTATAAGTTTTTTTAGAAAGCTGTTAGTCTAAGAATATCTTTATACTATACAACAGTTATTTTAATATACTCCGTACTGTGGATGATATTCTTATATCTTTTGTGCATATACATTACTTGTAAGGTATTATTTCTATAGGCAGGGCCTATTTTACCATAAGGCCTATAAGGCACGGGCCTTGGGCCCGGTGGTCTGGGGGGCCCGTTAAAGGTTGTAAAATATTCATAATTTCAAATGTAAATTTATTATTAATAAAAAAAATATTTATTTTTTAAAATCAGAATTTTTTTTTCATTATTTATTTTGTTGAATATAATAATGTTTATTTTATTTTTTAAATTTATTAAAAAAATAAAAATAATTGTTTATTGTTATTTTTTTACCCGAACTAACAAGAGAATTTTTGAATTTTATTGGAAAAGAATCGAATTTTTGCTTGGGCCTTAGGGCGCCACCAGATGAAAAATAGGCCCTGTCTATAGAATTAGAATTTAGAATAAGTGGGAGGGGGGTTAATCTCTGCGACCTTAGAGATCTATTGTGTCCCCCTTTCTTGAGTTATAACTCATCATACAGTCCCAGGACTTCCTACGGAGACCCGTGTCCTTCACAGTCGAGGAGCTACGACCCAGGCCGGGTAGACGAAACGATAGCTTGTGTCGCCTGTTGGGTTTAGAGGTAGGAGGTAGGCTCCCGACCCTCGGAGGAGGTGGTAACTTGTATGCCACTTGCAGAGGATGGTGTCACGCAAGTGTCAGCCACCTCTCCTGTAGTTCTCTTTGGGTTTGGCCCCTTGGAACTTTCATTGTTACTGTTCCCAGTGTTGCTAGGGGTTTCCACACAGCTTCACCGGTGATGTTTTTATTACTATTATTACCAGATCTCATAGTGTTCCCATGAGTCGCTAGGGACAGTCGGTCCACTTCTACCGAGCCCCGCATGTAGAAGTAAGGGGTAAAATACAATGGGGTGTCCCAAGGTTGAGGCTGTCCGTAGCCCCGCCCGGTATCGTTATATGTCTTGGTGCAATTCCCTGGCCACGACACTACAGTCAGGGACAAGACGATGAGTGAGATGCTACTTAGACCAAGCCAAGTGCTAGGGGGGATTCCCCCCAGCACCTGACCAGGAGCTTCCCCACCAACGACAAGGTCTTGCATCTCCTAGGGGAAGCCTGTCTATAGGTATTCACATATGATTTTGACAAGCATATTTTACTACTTATAAAAGATCCTGAACACATTGGGTTTTTTAAAATGTATCGATCTACAGGGTGCGTCTCAAAGGTGGCTCTCCTTTATAACTTTTTTATTTTTTTCAGATAAGAAACGAGATTTGGTATGTTAGTATATGACTATATAATTAGGATTGATTGACTTATTCAATTGTTTTTGGTCACTTTCTGTTTCACCGGAAATGACTGCAACTTTTGATTTTTAAATGGCGCCCTCGATATATTTCTACTTTATTCGATAGAAAATGACACTCTGAATAAAAGACATATCATACGTCAACTTTTGACATTTTCGCATACGGTTTATTTGAAATTGTAACATGCAGTTCATAACGACAAGTCAAAATACCAAAAGTGTGTGCTATACCACATTTTTCGTAAAAAATGCTTTTTCCAAATATGCTAATTAACCACCCTTGTTCCATTTGAAAAAATTGAGATATGATTAAAAATACGATTTGGGCATCTTTTAACGGGCCAGAACAAAAACGAAACGACACGAAAAAAATTAGACGATCAAAATTATTTTTCCAAGGCTCCTTGATTAAATATTAGTGTTTTAACACAGCCATGGCACTCTAGATTGACATTTAAAATACGATTTTTTTAAAGCGAAAATGTCAAAAGTTGACATATTATATGTCATTCTATTCAGAGTATCATTTTCTATCGAATAAAGTAAAAAAATACCTAGCTATTTAAAAACCAATAGTTGTAGTCATTTCCGGTGAAACAGGAAGTGACCAAAAACAATTGAATACGTCAGTCAATCCTCATTTATGTCATATACTAATATACCAAATCTCATTTTTTATCCGAAAAAATAAAGAAGTTATAGGGGTGAGCCACTTTCGAGACGCACCCGGTAGATTGAAATATAACATACGATACGAAGTGTCATTTTCTATCGAATAAAGTAAAAAAACCGAGGATGCCATTTAAAAATCAAAAGTTGTAGTGGTCATTTCCGGTGAAACAGGAAGTGACCAAAAACAATTGAATTGATTATATTGAATAGGATTGATTGACATAATCAATCCTAACTTATGTCATATACTAACATATTAAATCTCGTTTATTTTTATCTGAGAAAATAAAAACAGCTGTAGGGATGAGCCACTTTTAAGATGCACTCGGTATAAGAAAATCTAGTTTTTGTCATTACTAAGAGCTAGATTAGAAGATATTCTGCCTTCTCACAAAAAATATACTCCAAAAAAGTAATGATTTACCTAGCTGGGCAGAGATCGCATTTGAATTTTCTCAGCTTCATAGCCCAGTTGCTACTTCTTCTTGCAGCAGCGGACAGTTGAGCAAGTGTAGGGAGTGTTATTGATTCAGGCGAATGTATTTCCTTTGCTGGACTCGTAAAACTACTCTCCAAGATTGGAACTGTTGACGGTAAAGGACTTAAAGGACTATCTAAAAATATTTCCTTCCAATTAAAATAGACTTCGATACGGAATTGAATGAAAATATGAAGAAAATAAAATCATACTCACCAGACTTTTTTGATTTTTCTGAACAGGTACTGGGTCTTCTTTCGAATTCGATGCGTTTGATGGGTATTCTAGTTTCAGGTATTTTTAAATTTTCTGTTTCTTCTCTAAAATCTACAGCTACACGTTTTTGTCCTTTGAATCTTGTGTCTCTTCCCCCTGGGGATATGGATTTATCACTCTGGAACAGGTGAAATATGTATACTAGATTGTATACATAGATATGATGTAGATGTTGATGTAGTTTATATGGGAGGGGGAAGTTAATCGCCGCGACCTTACAGACATAGTATAAGGAAACTAGTAGCTTTACTCCTTGTCAAATCCTTTGTTCTTTTTCTGCCACTTTATGTGACCTTGTTCTCGTGTCCCGTGACCACCGACGTAGCTGTATAGTCGTGGTCTATAACTAGGCAAAGTATAGTCGTGGCACTCGCCATAGTTTCACAGAGATGTATTTAGGAAAATATGAGTTCACAATAAAATAAAATAAAAAAAATAGTTTATCGAGTAGAAATTTGCTTGAAAACAGAATATTTTCTCATTTCGTATTAGTAACAATTCTTCTGTACCTGAAAATCTTCTGATGGGAAGAAAAAAATTTTTAATGACATATTTTTATATTTATTTCACATCGACTATTTGAAAAGAATGTATAGTACTACTTGGAAAGTACGAAGCAAAAATTATTAGAGGGCAAACTTAATTCTTTAGATTTTTAATTCGCGCGTTTTAAGTTTAGTATGTTTTAGGTACTTAATGTAGAGGATCATTTTTATCTCTAATGTTAAAATGACCATTATTTAAAATTTACAAAATAAAATAATGAAGTTGCATTCTACATCTATACAGGGTGAGTAGTCTTGATAAAAAAAAAACATATTTTTCTCTTTATCGTTTTTCAAATAAATCTAAAAAACCGAGATATTTTACTTCTGTACTTCTCTACCTTTTCTGAATTTTCTTTCTTGTAAATTTAATCTACTACCTATGTTGCCATATTATCAACAAATTATATTTTTTATTATTATATTTAATTTGAAATAAAAAATGCAGGCCCGTATTTTAAAAAATTAAGTTTGTCTCTGTATCTCAAAAGTTATCAGCAAACTTGGAAATCTAAAAATATTATCAGATAGCCCTAATAAAGTGATATTTTAATAAGTTTTTGATCTTCTAAAAAGTAACGACAGGAAAAAATAAAATTGATTTTCAAAAAAATCCGTTTTATCCAAAAAAACTCAGCAATCGTTGAAATTTTTTAAACTTTTTTGATGGCATCTTGGTGAACATCCCAAACCGCAAATTTGGGATGTTCAAACATCAACAAACCATTTAACCATGTTCGTATCTATTACGGTTACCGAGATACCAATGCTCGTACCTCGAATTTGTACCTCTATTTGCACCCTGTATACGTCATGGATATCATTATATGTTAAATGTTTCGTAATTAAAATCGTCTTACCGTATCACCCATAGAGGTATCAACGATACCAGTTATCCCAAATTCAGTTGCAACCTGACACAACTTAGTCATCATGTCTGAGGAGATATCTGTTACACCTCTATACACTAACTCCATAAGACTTTTCATTTGTCCCACGGTCACTCCATGTAAAATATACGCAGTCTTTGGTTCGGAATGCACAGCGAAAACCTAAAATCGAATTTAGATTACAACCATTTAGTTATTTGGAGGTCCATGAAAATACCTTTTTAAAGTAGGGACTGGCAGCTGCTAAAATGACTTTATGAGCCTTGACAAATCCATCCCTGCAGTGGAAGGTGACGTCACTGAGAACATCATCGGCAAGCAAGTTCTGAAACATCAAGTCCCGATTTTCCTCGTATTTTTCTTGCAGCAAGCGGATTGACTTCGTTGGAGGGGACTTCATCTGTAAATTAATAATTAATATTAATAACTTTAGGAGTGTTTCATAATAAGTATTTTAAAAATATATCTGTAACCGAAAACTGGTGTTAAGTGAACCTAACAGAATAGTCTATGATTAAAGTTATAAACATTTTATCATATGTATGAAGATCTGAAGTTTTGATGATCGAAATTTGACTTTCACTTCAATCCTTTTTTCATTCATTTTCTAATGATTAAAGGTGAGTATACGAGTATACAGGGTGTCCCAATATTCCGTGGATATAGAACTACTACGTATTTCTGGAATCAAAACAAGTTCACTGGACACAATTTACCTCTACAAAATTTTTCGTGTGTCCGTTAGAGGCCATCAAACTTCAAAAAAATAAACACATTCTTTTAGATATTTTAAGGTCCGTTATCCCGATTTGAATGAGATTTTGGACGTCTATATTTTGCTCAGTGACATAACATTTTAGTTTCACAAAAATCAAGAAAATATACGAACTACTAACTATAACTACCACCTACATAAATTTTAGTATAAATATTTTCCACCCGGATAATACCGTTATTTTTTTATTTGAATTTGCTGTAGGTTGGACTAATAGTAATAATAACTAATAGTAATATTTAAAAATAAATTAGATAAACTAAATAATTTATTAATTTTATTTTTATTTTATTAATTGTGATTTTTAAAATTGCGTTTATCTCATCAAGGAGATCGAAATCGACAGAATATCAAGATACAACTTTTAATTGGCATTAAATGGCCTATGTAATTTTGCTATCAAAAAAGTCAGTGGCGCACATGTTTTTTTTTCGAAAAATATTCCAGTGATATCCCTTTTTTAGTACTAAAATATGTAACTTATGTAGCTTATACTTATTATTATATATGTAACTTTAATACTAAAATTCATAATATATGTAACTTTTGCCCTCAAAATTTATTCGGACTCGAAGCACACGAAACAAAACAGAATCGGACCCTATGTTGATATGAAAAATAAATCTTATTCGTTGATTGAAGAAATAAAAACTAACCCAATTCTTTCAATCAACATAATATGTATTATTTTTACGTGAGGAATCTCCCACGAGAGATTACAAGTGTTTTCTGAAACACCCTGTATACCGAAACCTGAAAATCCTAGTGTCTGTGCAGGATTACAGTAAACGAAATTTAATGATATTAAACAGTTAATTATATTATTTAATTTTTGATTTGTTTTGACGCTCATGATAACAGCTGATAAATATTCGAATTTCTTAAATTCATTTGCCAACAAAATAAGCCAAATCAGAATAGAATGGGATAATGTCAATGACATCTAAAAGGTTATGTTGAGGTGGAATACCGGCCAAATTATTATGTTTTAAATTTCATGATTCATAGCAGAGAAGAACAACCGTACAATTGTTCTTCTCTGATTCATAGAATACCGGGAGTTTCTTAAAAGTGGCTCACCCCTATAACTTTTTTATTCTTTAGATTAAAAAACGAGACTTGGTACGTTATGGTGGGTTCATACAGCCAAATAAAATAAAATAAGAATAAAATAAAATAAGAAATAAGGAATTCTTATTTGTGTGCGTTCATACAGTCAAATAAAATAAAATAAGAAATATATATTTGCTCCTGCGCAGTACGATGAGGCTGGATAAAAGTTAACTTTTTCGATTGTTTATAGTAATTTTACTATTTATAGTATATTTATTTATTCGTTGCCTACTATATTATAAATTTTACTTATGTGAAATTATAAAATAAATTAAATCCAAACTGAAAATATTTGTAGGTTAGAATTGAGCTTGCGCAAAGCCGTTTTCACATAAAATAAAACAAGAAGTTAAAAGATAAAGACTTCTTATTTTATTTGGCTGTATGAACGCATGTACGGTATCCCATATAACCAACTTTCTTATTTTATTTTATTTTATTCTTATTTTATTTTATTTGGTTGTATTTAGTATATGACATAAATTAGGATTGATTGGCGTATTCAATTCTTTTCGCCCACTTCTTGCTTCGCCGGAAATGACTACAACTTTTGATTTTTAAATGACACTCTCTGTATTTTTATATTTTATTCCATAGCCTTTAAAAATTACATTTTCTGAATAGAATGACATATCCTCTGTCAACTTTTGACATTTTCGCATATGGTTTGTTTCAGTTTATTTAAATTAGTAACATGCGGTTCATAACGAAAATTTGACTCGCAATACCAAGCATGTGGTACCAAATTATAGAGATGAGCAAAACTGCGATAATTCTCCAATCGCAATTGAAACTGCGATTGTAATTTTAATATTTACCAAACCAAATTATTCGTAAAAAATGCCTTTTTTACCAATGAGCCACCCTCGTTTCATTTGAAAAAATTGAAATATGATTAAACATACGATTTGGGCATCTTTTAACTAACCAGAACAAGACGCGGAAAACAAACGAATAGACGATCAAATTTATTTTTCCAAGGTACCTTAATTAAAATTAGTGTTAACACAGCCATCAGTCATGACATTCTAGATTGAAATTTAAAATACGATTTTTTAAGCGAAAATCTCAAAGATTGCCATCATATGCCATTCTATTCAGAGTGTCGTTTTCTATAGAATAAAGAAAAAAAAAAATACTGAGGATGTCATTTAAAAAACAAAAGTTGTAGTCATTTCCGGTGAAACAGGAAGTGACTAAAAACAATTGAATACGTCAATCAATCATAATTTATGTCATATACTAACATACCAAATCTCGTTTTTTATCAAGAAAACAAACAAACAAATTATAGGGGTAAACCACTCTTGAGAAACACCTGGTATATTATGATTGTGGCCCTAAAAAAATAATACCTTCTCTCTAAATAAATAATATCAGAGAGAAAATTCAATAGCAGTTTACTAAAAAATGCTTATTCAATGGACCACGAAATTACATTCGCAAAAATATCGCAAATCGCAACTCTTAAAAATAACTCGCAGATAGAAATCACGGTCCCAGTTTACAAAATCACAATCGCAGCAAAATTGCAAATCGCAACAAAATCACAAATCGCAATAAAGTCGGATATCGCAGCTATATATAGTAATACTGGTTGCCTAAATTCAAACTTGCAAATAGAAGAAATCGCAATCGCATTTCCTATGAGAGCCAATCTTTTTTAAAATCGCTGCGATTGAATCGCAGTTTGCGATTTCTTGCTCATCTCTGAACCAAATTATTTTTAAAATATAGCCTTTTCAAATATGAGGTACCCCCGTTCCATTTGAAAAAATTGAGATATGATTTTGGTCATCTTTTAACTTGGCAGGACAAAACACGAAAAACATTAGATGATCATCTATCTTTCCAAGGCTCCTTGATGGAACCTCTAGCCATGGAACTCTAGATTGAAATTTAAAATACGATTTTTAAGCGAAGATTTCAAAAGTTGACATATATAATATGTCATTCTATTCGGAGTGTTATTTTCTATCGAATAAAATAATAAACTACCAAGGGTGTCATTTTAAAATCAGAAGTTCTAGTAATTTCCGGTGAAACAGGAAGTGATCTGTCTGAATATGAATTAAATACGTCAATGAAATATTAATCTTACAAAGGTTGCTTATATCGCCCTCAGTTGATGACGTCACGTATAAACTATTACCTAGGCCTTCTCCTTTCTGGGAGGTAACGCCAAATACCCACATTAGTCTAAAATACATTTGCTTCACCCTGTATATCCATGAATATATTTTCTAACCTTATAATACTAAATAAATTCCGTTAAAAGTTAAACCAATATAACAAACTTCGGCAGCATATTCTGCAGATAAAAATAAGTGAAAAAGTTCGTATAAATTATGTCCAAAAATGCTTAGTTTCGGAGTTACAGGGTGTAGAAGTTTCATTTTTATTTCGATTTTTTCCAAATAATTCCTGAAGTAAGGTCAATATTTGGATGAAAATTGGTGTCTGGGAGTTTTTTGAATTGTTTTTTGATGAGAAATTTGAATTTGATGTCAATATGACTCCTACTAGTAGAGGGCGCCACCTACATATTTTTTAACTTGTTTGAAGAGTAATAACTTTTCGTTCGTACCTGTATAAAACTACTGTGTGAAAAAATATACATTTGCGACGTTTTTTACGTGAAAAAGGTCTCTTGGTAAAAATCACTACGAGTAATGGTTTTCGAGATATTTCGAATCGAAATTATTAATACCTGTCATCATTGACATAAATTAAACATGTTGACTAAATAATTATTAGACTGAAATCATAAATTTGAAATGTTTTTGTGCTAAAAGTTTAATAGAAACTGTTTTATCATCATTTTTTGCATGATTAATTTAAAAAAATTAAAATTTCCCAAATTTATTGTTTTAGTGAAATAATCTTCTCAACGTGTTTATTTTTCGTCAATAATGACATCGTATTGTATATTTCCATTCTAAATATCTTAAGAATGGTTGCTCGTAGCGATTTTTATAAAGAGATATTTTTTACGTAAAAAGTCACAGAGATGTATATTTTTTCACTCGGTAGTTTGATACAGGTACAGACAAAAAGTTATTACGCTTCAAAACAGTTGAAACACATGTAGGTGGCGCCCTCTACTAGTAGGAGTCATATTGAGACCAAAATCAAATTTCTCATGTCAAAAAACTCCCAGACACCAATTTTCATCCAAATATTGACGTTACTTCAGAAATTATTTAGAAAAAATCGAAATAAAAATGAAAATTCAAAATTCTACACCCTCTATCTCTGAAAGGAAGCATTTTAGGACATACATTTTATAAGAACTTTTTTAACTATTTTTATCTGCAGAATACGCTGCCGAAGTTTCCGGAATACAATTCGGACCACCCTGTATAAAACATCCTTGAACGAAAAAATAACGGCCAAGTATATTATCAAAACAACTAGTAGATAAGATACTTACCACGATTAAATATCTTGCATTCCCGTTTAAAAAATAAATATATTCCACGCGTATTTACTAGCCAGAAACAAAAACCTATTTAATTTCACGATAATATTCAAAACAGACTCGTTCACGTGGGCTCCCTTTCGGCGTCCCACCTCGAACTACAGACCGAAGGCACGAGAAGGGGGCTTGCCATATTCGTCGACCCAGCGGCGGCCCGCGTACCGATCGATACCACGTTGTCCCCCTCCTGAAATCAACAAAATACCCTCTGGAATTAATTCGGGTGGGACGTGGGGCGGGGGTCGGGGGGTATAGGGGTCTCTAAGTAACCGGCGAGGGACGTGAAGGGGGACGGACGGAACGGTTCGTGTCGAGTGGGTCGGTTGGGGGGCCTCTGCGTGGGAGACTGCTGTTTTTAAATTAACGTTCGCCTTGGACGGCGGTTTAACGTTCATTTATTACGTCGAATTATTATTATAGTTTCATTTTGTATTTATATGGGTGTGGATAATTTAATGTTATATAATACACTGTGTGTAATACTGGATATTGATAAATAATTATTTATAATTTTGTCATAAAGAATATTATAATAATATTTATATACAGTATACAGTAGGTCCCCGGACTGTCTTTACAAGAGCTTTTTTTTATTAAAGTAATAATTAATAATTATTGAAGTAAATTAATTTATTGCATATAAACTACTCAAAACAATTATCGCATATTTTCTAAAAAAAATATTAATTTGAAAAACAAGAGACCTTGAATTCTCTGACTTAGTTTTTAAATAGTTTGGATAAAAGATATTTAAACTGAAAAAACGAGATACAGAAAAATGATTCCCCTCAATGGACACGTTTTTTTGTAAATTACGCTTGAAATATTTGCTAGAACAGTTTTTGCTTATTATCTCGAAACAAGGTGTTTGGGGCGGGTTTTGCAACTTATCATATTAACACACTCAAATATTTATGTTTTATTTTTTTAATTTTCTTAAAGTACTGTCGGTCAATCTGCACGCCACTGGAAATTAACGACCTCAACCGTCTAATCTTTGTAAACAACTACATTGTTGCCGTAGCGCCGATACCCTATTCCCTTCTTTGTCCATTCTCTTTCGCACTCGTTGATTTTCGCAAACCAATGTGTGATGAAGTTTTAGAGCGTTTTATGAATGGATCGTTGTATCTCCCGAGTTTAAATATCTTTGGTTTGGATACTGTAAAGGGAAATATTCGAAAATAAGTCTGGGGTGACATGCAATTTTTAGTCAATAGTAAAAGTGAAAACAATACATACTGGAGCCGATCGGCCGACTATTAATTGATTGCATGTGAGCGCGGCTCCATAAGAACTCAACTCGGAACTCTATTAATTGGTTACAAAACTGCAACTAAATAGTCGGCCTACTAAGAATTGCCTGTCATCCCCAGACTTATTTTCGAATATTTTCCTTTACAGTATCCAAACTATTTAAAAACGTAAGTCAGAGAATTCAAGGTATTGTTTTTCAAATTAATATTTTTTTTAGAAAATATGCGATAATTGTTTTGAGTGGTTTATATTATGCAATAAATTAATTTACTTTAATAATTATTACTTTAATAAAACAGGTCATCTTATTTAAATAGAGATGCAAAAATAATCGAAAGCAGTAAGTATTTTTAAAATATTTAAATACTTTACCCGGAAACGCATGCGCATAGTTCTCCCGCGCTCAGTACGACCGAATAATTTTTGTGTTTAGAGGATGTTTGGTCATTACAATCTGTCTGACTGATTAAATATAACTTTATTATAGCTGTCTTAATAACATATGTAAAAATCAGAAATGTAAAAATAAGTTCATTTACTTTTTGTGGAGCTTTGATAAAGTCCATAGGTATCTCTATAAAAGATCCACTTTTTGATTTGCTATCGTCTGATAAAAGTTCAGGTCCATGGAAAGTGTCTGATACTTTTGATACTACTTCAGAGTAATATTCTACAATATTTATACAAAAATTAGCCATACAAATTTAAGTTAAGGAACTCTTAATTTTAGTTACCTTTCTCACCCTGTATCTGTCAAGGTGTCACAGGGCGAACTCCCCAAATATCTATCTATTCAGCCTTCTTCAGTCCATCGTTGGACATAGGCCTCCCCCAATCTCTTCCACTCTTCTCTTTTTGTCGCCGTGCTCATCCATCTCGTGCTTGCATGTTTCTATCTATTTCTTCTATTCTACCAGGGCCTCCAGTTTACGATGCATTTGTTCCATCGATTATCCTTCTGTCTGACACTGGACTGTCTGGAATCCTTTTCAAGAACTTAACCCTCCACAAAGGTACAGATATTATCGGTAAAGTTTGAAATCTGTGTTTCGGGGAAGGTGCTCTGTGTTCGTATTAAAAAAAATATGAAAAAAATGGTTGAAACCTAAGCAATCAAGAAAAATAAATGGAAAAATCGGTTTCAATAGGTTTTAAGAAATAGTTGTGTGACATTTGTTACGTTCCTGTTACCTTTGTTAAGCTTAATTAATACACACACCTTTCCTTATTTCATACAGGTATTCTATGAAATTCCTACGTATTTCATGAAATGTCTGGGTAAAGTATATAAAAAACTTAAATATCGTTAACTCGTTATGCATTTTATAGAGTACCTAGATTTTATAGAGAATGCCTTAATTTTATATTACGCCGGTAACATAGACATTATTTATTGATAAACCGTGTATCGTTCAAGGCAAAGGGTAATGTATAACCTTTGGTATAACAGTAGTCTCCCACACAGAGCCCCCCTCATCCAACCCACTCGACACACACCACCCCCTACCCAACGTTGCTCCCTTAGAGATCCATATTCCCCCAAGCCTCCCGCAACCCCCTCCTTCCTCTGCGAATTAATTCCAGAAGATAGTTTGTTGATATCAGGATGGGGCAACATGGGATCGATAGAAGGTTTAGGCGGACGATTGAAGCGTGTCCCCTTCTAGATCCTCACAGTTTTTTTTTCACACATCTATTTATTAAACCTAAGAACTAAACTATAGAGGGTGCTACAAATTCGAGTTACGAGCATTGGTATCTCGGTAACCGTAATAGACACGAACATGGTTAAATTGGGGAAAAGTTGCCGCTTTGGTATGTTCACCAAGATGCCATCAAAAAAGTTTTAAAAATTTCAAGGATTGCTGAGTTTGTTTTTTTTGAAAATTATATTTTTTCCTGTCGTTACTATTTACAAAATCTAACAGTATTATTAGATTTTGAAATTAGCTGATAATTTGTGAGATACAGAGGCCCACTTAATTTTTTTAAATACGGATTAGCATTTTTTATTTCAGATTTTGAAAGAACTCGGTCTCCTGAGTACAATATGATATGCCACACTTAATATTTTTTTGTTTCGGACATTTGAACACAATTTATTTAAAAAGTCCGGCTCTGTTTTTTGAGCAAAATAAAAACACTAACTAAAAATACACCATTCATTTATTCTCTATAGGAGAACATATACAGGCAGTGCTTTATGGTTGCTATAAAGATTAAATACAGAACATGTCTGTAAAGGAAATATTTGAGTATTCTTTAAATATGCTTTATATATGAAGTCTTAATCGCGACATCTTTATAGCAAAGAAACTAATCTATATAGGCTTGAGTTTACTATATCGCGTGGTTATACGGGAATACTTTATATTCTAAACAATTTTCTTGTGTAGGTACAAACTTAACCTAGTAAACCATTATAATAACCCTAATAAATAAAAATTAACCAACAAACCAAAACAAACCTAACCAAAGCAATCAAAACACGCTGTAAACTAAAACGCGTCTGTTTATGAATTCTAATTAATTTCCGAGTACTTTTCATCAATAAATGAAGATGGTACACTTCAGCAAAAAGTTTTTTTGCGTGTCTATGTTTAGAAAAATGGTTAGAATGAAAAACAGAAACGTGTTTTCATGTAACTGGTTTCAGCTATTCTAAAGTTGAAAATGCTGCTGTAAAAAAATCATCAGAATCATAAAAATATATAAAAATCTGACTTAAGTCTTTTATAAAAATACTTAAATATTTTTAACGACAAGTCTTTTCTAAAAAGTCTTATTTTTTTTTCTATTTCGGAATAAAAATTTAAATCACAAATCATTTTGAAAAAGACTTAAAATCTCTTAAGTCAGCTTTCGAAAAATGACTTTAAATAAAGTGACTTAAGTCATTAAAATTATTTAAATCAAAAAAGGCTTTTTTGACGAAAAGTTTTCTGTATGCTTGCAGCTTTGACGAGATAGACCAATTTATAAAAAAGAACAATACCTTCGATACCATCTGCCAGAAAAAGTTTTAAAAATCTTCTTTAAATAAAAACTGCCTAATAAATAAAATTAATAGAAAAACCTACTAAATAAAATTATTTAAATGTATAAGTAATATTTTATACAGTTGTATACAAGGTGCTACAATTCGACCGTACGAGCATTGGTATTTCGGTAACCGTAATAGATAAGACCAAACATCCTCTAAAGAGAATGATACATTTCCGCAGAGCAATTTTTATGATTTTGTGTTTGGAGAGGATGCTATATACTGGATGTTTTATTGTTTATTTTTAAGTGATTTCAAGTAAAAAAAAACTTCACCTGTCATCTTCTACTAAATGGATAGATATTATTATTTAATATACAATAAATAGCTTTATGGGCTTGAACAGAAGAACTTTAATATATTTTTTTCAAATACTTAAATGAGAAAATGTGTGTTTTATTTTATTATTTATGTGGTTTGTAATTGTATATAGATTCGATTAATGTTTATGGCAATAAGTATTTATATACTGTAGTTCATAATGATATAAAAGTGACCCAAACGCTGCGAACTAAACAACTCTGGAATTTAATGTTTCCGAACAAAAATGTTAAAGTAAAAGTAAGCCCGCTATTAATAAAAAGCAAAAATATTGTGCGCTTTTAGCTGCCTCATTTTTCGTTCTATTTTTAGTCATCTTGGGGGGCCTCATTCGCCGTACTTCCGCGCCCACTTTTTCCACATCGATTTTTCCGAGTGTCATGCGTCCCCTACTCCACACCCTAAGTAGAGGAGAAAGCAGAAATTACCCCACCTTTGCCAACATTCTCTCCCCTGGAAGATTCCTCGTGTCGTCATAAGCAGATGGGATGATATTTAAAATTTAAAATATGCCCCTAAAGAATATTTTATTATAATGA